GAAGGCAAAGAAGGCGATTATTTTCTGGGATACGAAGGGCATCATACACATCGACTACTTGGAAAAGAGAAAAACAATCAATGGTGAGTACTACGCAGCATTATTGGATCGATTCGATGCCGAATTGCGTCGATAACGCTCCGGTTGGAACGCAAAAAAGTGCTCTTTCGCCAAGACAATGCACCGGCTCACCGATCGGCCGTCATCATGGCAAAATTACACGAGTTGGGCTATGAATTGGTTGAACACTCACCGTATTCCCTAGATCTTGCCGCCAGTGATTTTTTCCTGTTTCCAAACCTAAAAAAATAGCCCGGAGGACGCCGTTTCGCAACAAATGATGAAGTCGTCGCTGAAACTTCGGCCTATTTTGAAGAGCTGGAGCAAAAGTACTATTCGGATGGGATAAAAAAATTGGAACATCGTCTTACTAAGTGTATCGAGCTAAAAGGGGACTATGTTGAGAAATAAATCGATTTAATTCCAAAAAACTTGTTTTTTCTATCAAAGGCTAGTTTTATATCAATCCACCCTCGTAAATAAATAAAACTTGACAAAACAATAATACTTCCAGTCCTAACATATGGTTCAGAGACCTGGATTCTAACAAAAAATAATGAAAACATAGAAAGATCTAAGAATGGCAATGGAGAGTGGAGAAGACGATACAACTTCGAACTTTATAGAATACAACAGGACCCTGATATCGTAAAACATATTAAGATAGGACATCTGAGGTAGCTAGGACATGTAATGCGGATGGAACAAAATGACCCAGCTAGAAAAATTGATAGATCAATTGGTCAGAGAAAAAAAGGAAGACCCAAAACAAGATTTCTTGATAACATCGATGAAGACATAAGAAATATGGGAATAAGTGCTTGGCGGAGAAAGGCGATGGATAGGGACGACTAGAGAGAAATTCTTGAGAAGGCTAGGACCCACGCAGGGTTGTAAAGCGCCAGAACGATGATGATGATCCTACTAAAATTTTACTAACGGCTCAGAAATTATGAAATCCCAGGTATAACACGTTTTTAAAAATGATAAAATTAGGAAATATTGTGGTCCGGATGATGCACCAACTGAGTTTCTTAGGCTAACTTAAAAATACTAGTAAAACTGTTCAGTGTAATATATAACACTGGAGAGATTGCCACAGACTGGCTTAAGTTCATCTTTGTTACAATACCTAAAAAACACAATGCTAGAAAATGCTCAAAATATCGATTAATTAGCCTAGTGAGTCAAACAATTAAGATTTTCCTAAGAATAGCTCCCCTTAGATAATTCCTTGTACTGATATTCTTTACTTTCTTGAGGGTCTGATGATACCGTATAACTTGTAAACAGCGACCCAATCTTTCATTTAATAAAAATCTACAACCTAACACGGATTGTGAGTATAAAACCCTAATCCCTAACATTTATACCCAATTTGGTAACAATAATGTTATGGGAACTAGGGAGGCACTTTTTGCGCTAAATATCCTATTACAAAAATGCCGTGTTCAAGGAAAGATGCATTTGCATGCTTCGTTGAGTCCGAATAGGCATTCGATAAAGTACGGCGTGTAAAATGAATGCAGATGCTAAAAAATATAGGAATAGATGACAAAGATATTCCTTAATTACTATTTAACTGGGAATAAGCCACAATTAAAGGTAAAAGAACGTTTATTGACGTTTCAATTTCAACTTCGGAAATCGTTCTCAAAATACAAATAGTAAATTAATTAAAAAATTAATTAAAAACACATCAATTTACTATTTGTATTTTGAGAACGATTTCCGAAGTTGAACGTCTGAACGTCAATAAACGTTATTTAACCTTTAATTGTGGCTTATTCCAAGTTAAATAGTAATTAATTTAAAATGCCACAAGAAAATAGCTTCAGAAAACGATATTCGTGTCATTAAAAATCTCTAGTAGAATCAAACTGGTACCGTAAAAATTGGAGACAATTACACCGACGAAATCTTCATACAACGAGGAGTCGGATAAGGTTACATTTTTCCCCATCATTGTACCGGGTGGTCCAATAAGCCGATCTTTCGGCTATATATCAGAAACTATTCATGTTATAACTTCAGGAGAAAAAATTCCTTAGTAAAAGTGGCCAAGAGAAAGCGCTGGAAATAACTTTCAAGATTCTGGATTAACCGCTAGGGGGCGTAACCTGCGAAGAAAATTTTGAAAACCAGTTTTTTGGGAAATATGTCCAATTATAATAAGTGTTAAATAAGTAAACTAGAAAGAGGCATAAATTCTGCACAAAGTTGTTCAAGTACTTTTTTTTTATTTTTTCAAATAAAGGGTGGGGGAGAGTGGGAAAGTATTTGTAGATAAATACCTATAACTTTGGTTTGGATCAACCGATTTTAACAAAATTAGTGTCATTAGAAAGAGTATGGATGAGTTAATTTACATCTACTATAAAATAATTGCATTTAGTTTTAATTGTTGTAGGTAGAGGGTACTGTCGAATAGAAAAAATTAAAATTTGTTTTTCTTCAAAATTTTTAATGGAAACACCTATTTATTGTAAATTATAATGGAACTGGATTAAATTCGTAACAAAATGGTGCAAACCGCATGTTAATAGCTTTTATAGAACTCGAGATATGAATAAAAACGCATAAACATAAGTAAGTATAGTATTGACACACCCTGTATTATAAAATAAATTAAAAAATAAGTCAGTAGGTACTTTCAAAATTTTTTATAGCAGAAAACTCTTAATGTTGATACCTATTTTAACCATTGTTATTTCATATGATTAAAAATTGTTTTTTCGAAACTAAGTAGGCTACGACAATGAATTTGACAGGGAGTTCATATTGTTTATTTATTGACAGCAGTCAAAATATTGTTAAGAAGTGTTATATATGTATTATAATTCGAATTGAAAATTCCATTTTTTTCAATAGATATTAATATTGGTAATATTAGTAATTAATTATCAGTACTAATAATTCGTGATGAGTATATCAAATTGTATGATATGATTGGAGTTTATTTCGAATATCACCAAAATGGCGCTATTGCCTCACGTATATATTCTGTAGGATATCCTGGCAGGAGATATTGTGGCAAAGAAGTAGAGATTTCGGACTACTTATATGTGGATTCTGTTGAATTAAAGCAAGAACATTGATTGAATTATCTTCGGTCATAACTCTACTACGTCGTTTAAAACAAGGACGAGAAAAACTACCAGTTTCTCTTAATCTTTTTGCTTTTCCTTCAAATACTTCTTTACCATAATGTCTCCTGTCAGGATATCTTACAAAATATATACGTGAGGCAATAGCGGCATTTTGGTGACATTCGAAATAAACTCCAATCATATCATACAATTTGATATACTCATCACGAATTATTTGTACTGATAATTAATTACTAATATTACCAATATTAATATCTATTGAAAAAAGTGCAATCTTTAATTCGAATTATAATATAGCACTTCTTAACAATGTTTTGACTGCTGTCAATAAATAAACAATATGAACTCCCCGTCAAATTCATTGTCGTAGCCTACTTAGTTTCGAAAAAACTATTTTTTACAAAATAGGTATCAACATTAAGATTCTTGTGCTATAAAAAAATTTGAAAATACCTACTGACTTATTTTTTAATGTAATTTATAATACAGGGTGTGTCAATACTATACTTACTTATGTTTATGAGTTTTTATTCATATCTCGAGTTCAACAAAAGCTATTAACATGCGGTTTGCTCCATTTTGTTACGAATTTAATCCAGTTCCATTATAATTTACAATAAATAGGTGTGTCCTTTAAAAATTTTGAAGAAAACAATTTATTTTTTATTAAAGTCCCTCTACGACATGAAACTAATGCAAGTATTTTATAGTAGATGTAAATTAATTTATCCACAGTCTTTCTAATGACACTAATTTAATTAAAATCGGTTGATCCAAACCAAAGTTATAGGTATTTATCCACAAATACTTTCCCACTCTCCCCCACCCTTTATTTGAAAAAATAAAAAAAAAGTACTTAAACAGCTTTGTGCAGAATTTATGCCCTTTCTAGTTTACTTATTTAACACTTGGTATAATTGGACATATTTCCCAAAAAACTGGTTTTCAAAATTTTCTTCGCAGGTTACGCCCCCTAGCGGTTAATTCAGAATCTTGAAAGTTATTTCCAGCGCTTTCTCTTGGCCACTTTTACTAAGGAATTTTTTCTCCTAAAGTTATAACATGAATAGTTTCTGATATATAGCCGAGAGATCGGCTTATTGGACCACCCGGTACAATGTTTACTCAGACCAGCTATTTAAAAAGGTACTTGAGAGACAATCATATGGAATCAAAATCACCGGGAACTACGTAATGTAATTAGATACGCGGACGATACAGTAATTCTATCAGAATATACTGAAGGTCTCCAAATTCTGCTTGATAGTGTTCAATAAGTAGAAGAGGAAATAAGAATATAAATAAACTTAAACAAAACCAAATTTTTAGTCTCTAATCGTAACCCACATGCAGATGCAGAGCCTCAATTAAATGGAGTCCAAATTGAACAAGTTCACAAAATTACATATTTGAAAACTGTCATAACGGACCAACTAGACGTAAAAACGTAAAAGCAGACATAAAACGCAGACGTAAAAATAAAACGAATAATAACAATTGGAAACCTCGGTGCAAGAACCGGGCAACTCCACTTTTCTAAATTGTTGGGAAATCGAAAAAAACTTAATATTTTTAGAAAATGTGAATAAATTATACTTAATTAAATTAATCCTTCTAGAGGAACATTAGACAAGTCTTATTTATTCAATCATTACTTTTAATTCATATTGTAGACGCAACAATTTTGTTTTGAAAAAATGGACTTGCCTGTTTTTTGTTCCAAAAATCCCGCGTGTTAAAAATAAAAATGAAACAATGTACTGTTTTGGATTTTTTATTGCAAATGATACGTTTTAATTAAAATGAAAATATAATAATCAAATAATTATTTTAAACATAAGAAGAGTCACTAACACTACCTTCATCAGGATCTTCGTTTTCATCTCCAAAATTTAGGTCTTCGGCATTATTCAGCATAATATTTTCAAACATACGGTTGTAATACCCTTGGTCATTTAAAGGTACATATTTTCGTACTAAGTCTCTTAAATCTTTAATTTTTTTAGGGTTTATGTCCAAGGGCTTCGAGTATGCTTTATTATTAGGCATGGCGAATGCAATAATATCTCCTTTTGGGTTCATAAAAAAATTTGTGGAAATAACAAATCCCAAACTTACAGAACATTCGATGAACTGATAACTTTTTGTATACCTCATTAACCTATAGGTTGATATAGCAAACTTTTCTTTTTTTGGCCCTTTGGGGGCTGATTTAAAGAGTTGTTTAAAATGGTCAGAAAAGTTTAGGATCATCTCTTGGTCTACAGGAACTACCTTAAATTTTTTCGAAGTTTGTTCAACTAACTTTATCCATTCTGATGGTAGATATATTCTTTCCTTCTTCCTTTTATTTTTTTCTATGAGTCCAAATGACCTATCACATGGTAGAAAACTGTGCCCTGGTTCAGGGTAGTGGTGATGTATTTGACTAATTTTTTTATTTACATTTACCAAAGTATACAGATATTTCACTAACGTTTGATTTTTGTTCTGTGCAAATGCATTGTCCGAAAAAATGTATAGCTTACTTACTGAACCAGGCAAATATGTGTTTATATAATGATCAAGAAAGGATATGACTTCGTTACTTCCTTTCTTAGCGGTCTGCTCATCATACATGTAAAAAGTTGACGTGCCCAATTTTCCCGAATGAATACCAAAATTATATTCCCAAAGTTGCCTTTTGTAAAACACATCTCCTGCTGGAACATGGGGTAAAGGCAAATTCTGCTGGAAGTCGAAACATAATACTTCGATTGACTCATCTTCTTTACTGAGAATGGTAACTTCTTTTAATTTTTTGTAAAACACCTCAGATTTACGAATATGAATATCTTTTTCAGTCAGACGTGCTTTTTTCTCTTCAGGATCTATCTCGGCAAGTATAAGATTTTGTAATATGTCGCAAGTTTGACATGTGTCAGACCTCGGAGTTCCGAAACTGATATTATGATTTAATACAAAACTACGATTGTAGAAGTCGTAGGTAACTTTTGCATGGGCTTCTTCGCCCTTTTGTGGGCGACTAAAAGTATGAACAGAATTGAACCATTGGAAATGTGTATTCATAGACGGATGCTGAAGATACCTTGGTCAGCAAGAAAAACTAATAAGGAAGTACTAAGGAGGGTCAACAAAGACAGAGAATTGCTAAAAACTGTTAAACATCGGAAAATGTCTTGACTGGGATATATAGTGAGGGGAAATCGATATAGAATATTCCAACTGATCCTTAAAGGCAACATGAAAGGCCGTAACGGCGCAGAAAGAAAACAGCTTTCTTGGTTGAGAAACATTCGTGAATGGATTGAGATATCAAATGCAGAATATTTATTCTATGTGGCCGAACATCAAGAACCCTTCGCAATCGCATAAGTTTGATATATAACGTGAAGAAGAAGATAATTAAAATATATATATATATATATATATATATATATATATATATATATATATACATATATATATATATATATATACATATATATATATATATATATATATATATATATATATATATATATATATATCTGTTTCAAAGAACATTGATTTTTTGCGGCTTACCTAAAGTTAAGCATTGTTTATTTAACCCAAAATAGCCTTTGAGTTTAGACACACCTGAACTATATAGACTCTAGACATACCTAACAAACAAGAATACACCTCGACTCAAAGAAAACTCTAAGAACCATATCAATATTATATCGCCAACGAACCTAAGATATCTTACATAATGTACTAAATTCTTAATAACCTTTACAAAATACATAACACGAGTAACAAAGGATATTCTTTTCACGAAATTTGCAACTCTTATAATAATGGATTACGTCTGCGTTTTTTTATTTAAATTATATTGCATAAATGTTTGTCTACATACAAAAGCATAAAAATATCGACAATGTTGCCTTTGAAAATTAATGTTCGTATGATTATTCAATTAGCAGTTCCCGTTCTATATTTATTTTAGAAGAAACTTATTTGAAGGTAAGCTGTGAAAAATTACGTTGTTACTGATTGTGTATCAAATACATATATTATTTACTACATGTACATTGTACGTTTATGTGTATAGCTACGCAGAAACGGCAGCTAATTTCATTTGAAAATCTTGTTCACAAACTTCTGGTGTGTTGTCATATTTTTCATAATGTTTCTTCTCTTCTTCTCTCTAGCACTATAACCCAGGAAGGTTCTTCGCTGACATCACAATTACTTGCTGTGGTCTATCATTATTTTCTCTACTCCTATAATATTGAAAAATGTTGGAAAAATGTAATAGTGTAAAACTAACTGAGAATGTAACAAAACTAACTACAGATGTCAGTGACGTAGCTATGAGTTTATTTCGGCGGGTGTCTACTCGTTTAAGTTCATCCGCCTCCCCTTCTACAAAACATTTAGTAATTTAATCCACCATTTTTTTTATTATTTTTTTTATAATTTTTTTTGTAACAAGAATAACTCTTTTTAATATATTTTTTGAGTAAGGAGTAATTTGTCATTAACAAAAAATCACAGCACAGAATAATGATAATACAATGGGCCTGATAAAGTGTTTTTGTAAGTGCCTATTATTAATGAATATTTTTTATTGTTACATTACATGTTTACAATCTATTCTGCACACAGAGTAATAAGTAAATAGTCTGTAAGTAAGTTTGTCTTCTAGCCATACTCTCTTCAATCTTCTTTCGGCAAATGGTTAGGTGAATAAATCATTTATCAGTTCGTTGGTGTGATCAGTGGTACGATTTTTATATTTTATTAAGTGATTCTTTATTATATCCTTAAGTAGTGGGATTTCCAGATCATTGTGAAGTGTTTTGTTAGATACATACCTTAGAGCAGTGGTCGCCAACCTGTCGATCGCGAGCTACCGGTAGCTCGCGGAGGCAATTCTGGTAGCTCTCACAACGATTTTAATTTAAAAAATACAAACTGCAAAAATCAGAGAAGCTTCCGAAAATTCCACAAAAAAATCTAATTGTCATAATATTAAACATAAACAGCGGCAACGTTGCGGTGAGCGATCTGCCCCTGACGCCGTCAAGCTAGAATCGGCTATTTATAGAACCGACCAGCGCGTTAGTGTTCGAGAACGATATAGATTGCCTATTTGAACGGGATAAATAAGCACGGCGCGGCGACATTGCGGTTAGTCTGCAGTAGTTAGTAGTAGAGTTCGACTCCAGCAGTCGAACAGTGAAGACGTGCCAAAGCGAGAAGAGCGACACCGCCGAGGAGCTGAAACGACCAAGTCTAAGCTGAACTTATTAGTTCAAGCCGTGAATGTAAGCACGGCAGCGGTGACTTGGCGATAACAGCGCCTAGGCCTGAACAACAGAGGCAAAACCTTACGTCGTAACTAGGTTAGCCGGGGAGATTTGTTTTTTAAATCAGATCTTCACGGAGGCCAAAATTGCGGCGTAGGGAAGTGAAAAAGCATACGGGCTTTGCCCGTCGGGATACTCTCTGTGCCTCCGTTGGGATGACACTGTGGGATATAGTTTTTTTAGAATTCTATATCTGGCAGACACGGCCCCAGGGTCAGAGAGTTGAGAAACGCAAGAGGATCCCCGCTCTAGTTCTGCCTAGAGCGTGAACAACCGCGTTAGGTCACTGGGTGGCACCCAGAATCCGTGCTGGCAATGGGCCAGACGGACAACAAAAAAGCCTTCCTTCAAATTTTTTGATTAGGCCCCGCCCCCCAATGGACCGTTTACGGTCTCCGCCGACCCGTAAGGCGAACCCATCCAGCCCCGATGGTTGCCGTGAGAGGAAACTCCACGGTAACATCTATAACGCGCTACTGTCCCACGACGCTTCCGACGGACACGAAACATCAACAAACTATGATGTTTTCAAAGACCTCCCCGTAGATGACTGGGAAGCCCATGCCACGGACGAATTTAAGCGTCCCAAGACGAAGAAAAGGAGGACAAAAGCCCGTGCGGAGGGAAACCGCACAATAGAAGAAACAACGGACGACGAAACGCCAAAAGCTGGTAAGAGGATCAGGAAGAAGAGCAGCGAGGACGAAAAGTCTGAACTGCAAATACTAAAGAAGCTCCTACAAGAAAAGGAAACAGAAAACAACGCCCTCAAAAAGAAGATAGAGGAGTTACAAGATATAATTGTAAACTCCCAAAAGTCCATAATCGACCATATGGACAAACAGTTCGACCAGCTCGAGGGCAAAACTGAGGTAACCCTGGAAAAACAGGCACCGAAGAACAAAGAAGATAACCTGGAAAACCAGGCCATAACCAAAAAGAAGGCTACAGGAGCAATCCCAAAAAACAAAAAACAACAAAAGGAAAAGCCCAAAGAGGCAACAAAACCCAAGAAAAAAGAAGATTTCCCCCCACTCACCCCCACCAAACCCCAAGAAGGTGCACAGGATAGTGATGCGCAAGTTGATCGACACTCTCCAACACCGACACAGATGGACATAGAAGAGGTACCTAAGAAAACTTGGGTACCAAAGCCACCTGTAATTAAATTACAGAGTGTGAACTACACAGGGGCCATACTAAACATCGCCCAAAAAGAGCAAGTGATAACAAACAACAAACTGTCCAGAAGCGGCCGAGAAACGCTTATCCAAGCAAAAAGCCCTGAAGATTACAGGAAGATGGTAAAAATCATTGAAAAATTCAATGAGGAGACGAAAATCCAGTGGATAGCATTTCCACTGGAGGAGGACATAAAACCAAGAATGGTTTTAAGAGGGCTACCATCTTCATCAGACCCAAAGGGTATACACGATGAGATATTGGAAGACCACAATATTGGAGTATTGTCGGTCAAAAAAATGATATCGAGGAAACCCGACAAAAGGAACTTGCCAATGTTCGTTATGACGGTGGAACGAGAGGACGTGGAAAAACTAAAGCGCATCACTAACCTGATGCACATGAAAGTCCGAATAGAGGAGCTAAGAAAAGCAACAGGGCCCACACAATGCTTCACCTGCCAGGGCTACCACCACGCACAAAGGGCGTGCTTCAAAGCACCTCGATGTGTAAAGTGCGGCGAGGAGCATGAAACAAGGAGCTGCACGATGCCAAAAGAGCAGAAGGCAAAATGTGCCAACTGCAAAGGCCAACACCCGGCCAACTTCAGAGGCTGTCCCAGATGTCCAACCTGGGGCAGACAACAACAACAGCGACAAAGGCCAGTAACGCAAAGCAGGCCACAAACAGCTCCCACTGGGCTATCCTACGCCCAGGCAGCGAAACCCCAAGAGAATGAGAAAACCATCCTCATCTCGAAACAACACCAAGACGGCCTAGTGAACTCCGTAAAGGAACTACTCACTAGGGTAGTAAATGAAGCGATAAAAGATTTCAAGTTAGCACTGAACTAGTGCAAACTAATAGGGGATACTTGAGGATAGGCTCCTGGAATCCAGGGGGTATAAGGACCAACCAGAATATTCTGGACGAACTGGTCAATAGATACGAAATGGACGTCGTAGCCATTCAAGAAACAAAACTTACGAACAACGTTAATATCAAATTCCCAGGATACGACGTATACAGGAACGATAACACAGCGAGAGCAGGTGGCACAGCAATACTTGTGAAAAAAGGCATAAAACACACTAGATTATTAACACCGCAACTAGTAACTATGCAAGCCACAACAATAAGATTAGAAATGAGGCAAGGAGAAGTCAGAATTACCTCCGCCTATGTAAGACCGCAAGATCCGCTGATCGACGACGATCTAAACATGTTCCTAAACGACGAACCCTCAATCATCATAGGAGACCTAAACGCAAGATCCCCTAACTGGAATGATAGAGCTACGAACAGAAATGGAAGACTACTAAACGCGTACATAGAAAATAACGAAGAAGTCATGGCAATGGGCCCCACAGACCCAACGCATTACCCAGGTAACGCACTTCCAACGCATATAGACATAGTAGTTGCAAAAAACCTAGGCCTACAAACAGAACTACAAACACTAAACGAAGGTACAACTGACCACAACCCCATCCTATTAGAACTAGGAACGTGGGAGGAAGAAAGCACAACCAAAAAGATCAAAAAGAAAACAAAGTGGACAAACTTCAAGAGACTCGTGAGCACCGGAATAAACATTGTCCCAGTGATAGACAATCCACGAGAAATAGAAGACAAGGTCCTAGAGTTGGAAAACATCATCCAACAAGCAATCAGGAATAGCACTACTGAACAGGAAGTAGTAATGCAAACGGGCAGATTCAAGGATATACCTCAAGTAATAAAAGACTTGATAAGGAAAAACAACAGAGCTAAACAGACAGCAAGAAGAACAAGAAACCAAGCAGACAAAAACAGAGCAAATCGATTAAACAGAGAGGTCAAAACAGCACTACAACAACACCGTAGTGAAAGCTGGGAAAACCACATAAGGGACATGGAAGATCAAAGTCCAAATATGCAAAATATTTGGAAACTGCAAAAAATCCTACGAAGTGACAGAAAACCAATTCCCCCACTACACGGAGAAAATGGTATAGTATACAGCACAGAGGAAAAAGCAGAGGTAATGAGGAGTACTCTCGAGAGAGAGTGTACATTAA